TATATATATATATGAATGCATGCATATATTTGGGCGTAGGACGCATATTTGGCACATTAGAGAGTAAAAGGAGGGAGATAAAACACGAAATATACAACAGGTCAGTCAAAAAGCCTGGGTCACCAACGCTGTCTTTATGATAACAGAAATTTTACTTTTTTGAAGACATACCACCTATTCCAAAACTCATTGTCCTCTGTTTTTGCAATGTCAACAGCAGAGTGACCTGTCTGCTAGTAAATAAAGAAGACTCTGGAGCTTTTTGCCACTAACCGAAAGTACAAGTTGACTCAAAATTTTTTTCGCAACTTCTCGCCAAAAAGAAATTTTCTGCCCTTTTATTTTCCTCCAGCTTCGTCTTCATGCACAGTAGGCTAGTAGAACTCTGTCAGTTGATAATATAACGTCTAAGGCAAAACTGTCTATCCTTTCTAGCAGGACTTCAGAATTTGGATTGTGGCAACACGAGAACTGCATAGCAAAAAAAGGAAACATTTAGGCGGGTTGAAGTGTTTTAATCTAAATAATTTTATAATTTTATAGCTTTCATAGCAACCTTAAATCGAATTGACTTTGCTTGTTTTAATGAAATGAGAAAAATGCGTGTAAGCTGCACTGAAATTAGCAACCGAGTTTCAAAGTTTGAAGGAATTTGTGCTTATCTTGCACTGAACAATATCACATCAGAATAATAGTTTTAAGGTAGCCATAATAAATTACAAATGAAAAATACTTATAATGATGGTAAAATAATAAACTTGAGCAAGAATAAAAATAATAAATTTTGAACTTATTTTCTATTTTATTTGTTTTTTTCTCTGTAGTCACCAAGAAAATTTTAGTGTGATTCAATAAACCACTGGTGGATGTAAAAAAAAAAGTTGCTGATTAGTTAGAACAAGTGATATTTTAATTTACAATATTTTTAATTAACATTACTTTGTTGTTTGACGCATTTTGTACATTTACAGGTAAAATTTTTTTACATTTACGGTTGATAGTAAATATGATGTTAACAAAATATCGAGGAAAAAAGTGAGCGAAGGGTATAAGAGAAATAGAAATGGAATTTTTTAAAAATTTACTGTTGAAGGAATATGGAGAAGAGGTTGCTGCTGTTCAATCAGTAGCATCTGTACAGTGATCGGACAAAAAGAATTTGACCGCCATCAAGTTGAAGAGGAAAAATCTTTTTTTAGCGACGTTTTAAATGCCGTATTACAG